CAGTGACTGTTATGGGGTACAGGAGGGACACGATAACATGGGTGAATGTAGTAACCACATTGTTTTAGGTGAAACCTTCATAAGAGTGTATATCAATAATACCTTAATAAAAATAAAAATAAAAATAAATAAATAAATAAAAATAAAAAGACAAGTCCTTAATCTAACATGGCTTGGTTGTCTTAAGGAGGCACCGGACATAGAAAGATAAATACAACTCAGAGAAGCATATTCTGCATCAAATTAGTGCGACAGGCAATGAGTGCTGCCAAGGAAAAATGACTAAGGATTTCTCTGGAGAAGGAGGTCTTCTAGAGGGTAAAATGGTTTGGAAGTAGGTAGTTTTTAGATAAAGGGAGGGTCTTCACTGTATGTGCCATCCCAGGTCCAGACAGGACTGTGGTGTATGCACAAAAGTGTGTGTAGATACATTTGGCTTGAAGAGATGAGCTGTGAAGAGGAGAACATTTGTTTTCAATATCACACAATGCAATTTATTTCAAACAGGTTATAAAAGAGATTATGAGAAGGTTTGAAAAACAAACTATGTTGGGACCTTCCAACATGGGAAATGGAAGAATGAATGAAGCAGGGTCAGATCTGAAATTATAAATTACTCTTGGCCAATTTTGGGGTGTCTTGGGAAGATCAGTCTGCCAGGAGTGATTTGATGGGGGAGAGATTAGAAGCAGGGATCCCAGTTAGGACACTACTGTGCTTAGTCACCAAGTGATGAAAAGCTAGGAAAGACTGAAAAAAATCAGAGGACTGAAGATTCTAATGTGGGTGACTGGGAGTCTTTATATTTGCTGCATGAATGAATGAACAAATGAATAGGGGCAAAAATTCAGAGTGTGAATTGGCTTAAAAGGGAAAGTGTGTTCAGTTTGGATTTGACAAACTAAACTTACAGTGATAGTTGTATCTGGAGGCGGAAGTCCTCAGGAAGCAGTAGGAATTGTGAGACTTAAGTCTGAGAGTAACCAGACCTGTAGATGCAGGTTTGGAGTTAATCATCAGGGAGGTTCACATTTAAGCCAGAGCAGTAGAAGGATCCCGCCTTGGGAGCTTGTACGCAGAGTAAGTAACAACACAGAGGGCTAAAGAAGGAATGGGACGTTTTCAAACTCAGGGAGAAGAAACAGGAGTTGGGGCTAACAAAGAACCCAGAAAAGACATAATCTGAGAATTAAGAGGAAAAACAGAACAATGGAATGTTATCACTGCTGACTGGTTCAAAGAGGTCAAAGAGAATGACAAGCGAAAGTCACTGATAGCCTTGGAAAGAATAGCTTTAGGAAAACAGCAAGGTGAAAGCTAAATTTCAGTGGGTTGAGGAATAATAGTGGAAAGAGCAAGTATAATATTTAGCAGTAAAAAGACAACACAGTTGAAGGGAGCAGAAAGTTGAGGGAATATTGCAGTCTTTCAGAAATAGCTATGGTACAGAGGCTAAGTACTACGGGGCCCCATACTTGGCCTGTCTGGACTGTAAAGGTGATGATGTGGTCTGGCTCTTAATTTTTGATTTCTACTTTCTAGTTTAGCAGGTGACATGCACATCTTTTGATAAAGGACCCTCTACTAATTCTTCATATATTTTATTTTCTTAAATGCTTTTTAACCTGAAGTATATTCTCCAAGTCAGGATACAATGATCTATTTTTTCTCATTAAATGATGCTTTGTACTATGTAGATTAAATGTAGGAGAATTTTTAAAAGTTATAAATGGAAAGGCAAACATATTTAACAGTTTAATAACTGAATACATTCTAGGCTATATGGGAACTTGATTGAGTAAAAGGAACCCTATCTATTGACAATCTAAGTCCTCTTGTATTACAAAAATTAGTAGCAGCTTATCAGACTTTATCAGAAACTTCTTACCCAAGTTCCTTGCCAGTCGCCATCCTCCTCCACACCTAGCCTTTGTTCATTTTCTCTCCTTTCCCCTGGATACTCATTTTAGGAATTGGCCTATGTTGTTTGTATCTTCTATCTTTTCCTCTAGTCATAAAATGAGTTTAACTACGATTTACCAAGTGCTAATAAGTGCCAGAGACTATTCCAAGTGCCTCACCCAGGCTGTGCCATGTACAGGCTGTGCCAGTGCGTTTTACAGAAGAGGAAACTGAAGCAGGAAGAGAGGCCAACTGACTTACCTAGTTCGTGAACCGGTCAAGACCGGAACCAAGGAAGTCTTTCTCCAAGTCCACAGCCCTGACCAATTGCTACACTACCTCTCACCAGATCCTCTAAGTCTCTTCAGAAGTGCATTCCTTCTCTTCATGAACTTCTTGAGTACTAACTTCATTTGATAACATTTATTGTGTGATAATGGGCCAGCATGCTGTGCTAGGGGCTGGGATTTCAGAAGCCAATGATACAGACACTAGAGCACACTGTCCCGAAGGTGAGGCGAACAAGAAGCCGTCAGAATATAGTGTGAGGGGTGAGCACACACCCACGGCCCTCACTAGGCCAGGGGCAGGGGGAGGGGCTTTCCTCAGTACCACCACTCCCAGGGGGTGTGGGGGACACAGGTCAGCCTACCAGCTCCATATTTACTAGGTGGGAGACACTGGGAAAATTAACTTAAGCTTTTTCTGGGCCTGTAAATAAAATATAGTAGCAAATTACATAAAGCTGTTTTCTAAAATCCATCCTCATTTCTCTTATCACTTACAGCTGGCTTGATCCTCTGTGCTCATAACTTCTGTATCTTCAGCTTAAGCCTCTCTTCTGAACTCTAACTACAACTACCAGTTGGCCATGTCAACTGGAGGCCCCTGCTTCCAATGCAAAACTTTTATGTATTTAAAATTCATTGGCTCTCTCAAAACCAGGGGGTTGAGTGACACCACCCACCTCTGCCACAGGCACCACCATTCTTCCAGAAGTCCAGGGGTGAAGCCTCTTGTGTTTCCACCTTCTCCTTGCCTCTGACATCTAATCTATTCCCAAGTCTTTTTGAATCCCTTCTTCCTTTACATTTTTACTGTCACAACTAGTTTTGACTTCAGTAACTAGCCTAACCATTGCAGTAGCCTTCCTAACTTACCTCTCTGCTCTGGACCTCAATCTCTTAAATTATGATGCCAGATTAGTCTTCCTGAGCCAACAGTGGACCATCACTCCTTGGCTCACTGCCCCTTCTGGCATTCCAGGCCCACTGTGCTCTCCCTCCCACTAGCCTCTCCACTCAGTTCCTTCATACATACTCTGCTCGTCAAGTTCACCTGCTCTCTGTTCTCACACAAACCACGAGCTATATTGACTGCTTATGCCACTCCCCCAATCTGGAACTCTCCCTCCATTTCTGAATGTTCAGATGCTGCCCATCCTTCAAAGCTCTGTTCAGATGCACTGTCCTATAAACTTACTCTCCTTTGGTTGGAAATCATCCCTTTCTGACATAAAATTACACAGCATTTTCACTCTTCTAAGCACTTGATAACTTCTGCCATGTTTGTATAGTTACACATCTTCCCTCATCTACTGCACAGCAAAGTCTTTGAGTGTAGAATCCCAGTAGTGATTTGTTCTTGTGTCTCACTATCACTAACACCAAGTGCTCAAAAGTATGTGAATAAAAAAGCGAATGACCAGAAAGACAGAAAGATGGAAAGACAGATGGAAGAATAGAATCACAATAGCATATACCATGGGCTTGACTGAAATTTCAGACTGCTAAGCAACAGGCACGTCTCCATCACAGGTATTTAATGTAGGAAAAATAACTGCCTATAGTCACTTTAAAAAAGAATTTTCTGGAAACTAGTTATACAAAAGGATTGAAATACCACCACCTAATGTTCAGGTCCATACATTGCTGAAAGGTACAAATTAAATGCAAGTACACAGGTTTTTAAACAATATAGGGGTTTTTTTTCTTTCTAAGAATTATTGTTAATTAAGCAGAAGAGGAAGGTGGAGATAATCTAAGAGGAGGAGTTAAGAAAATACTTTCTCTTCTATACTCGTTCTTGCTTCCATTTGGCAATTCACAGGCTCTCAGTACCCACCACTTTGAAGATGTGGCCTCATGTCAAACATCTAATAAGCTTGTCTCAGAGTTGTTTTTAAAAAATTAAATCAAGAACTTAGCACAATCTCCAAAGTTTCTGCATTTGTGAAGATATTTTAAAAAGCACCTTTAAGTAAAAAGAGTTTAGAATGGAATTTCATAAAACTGAAGAAATGGATAGACCAATTTCACACTCTTCTTCATACCTAGTTGATTTCACAAGCAGAGAAGTGGATGGATGTTCCGTTTCTGCTGGCCAGTTCACTAGCACTGTGGCTAAATCTGCTTCTAGTCTCAGAACTGTTCATTTTTTTCAGAGAAGCAAAGTATAATTTTACAAGGTATCTTAACCATGCCCGGATTAGAGACCATGGGAAACAAGTCCAAATGCTTCAAAACTAATTTTTTTTTTGTAGTGAATCTCTTCAAAAGGAATGTGTGATTAGGAGATTACTACTTTTGGGGGGTGAATTTTGTTCTTGTCTCTGTATGTACCACAAAATCCCTCACCAACAAAAGAGCACAGGAAATGAAAAGTTCCAACAATTAATTTCCAAGGAGATACAAGGCAGGCACTCGGCAATGCTTAAAAGAAAACAATGTTTCTTCAAGTTTTTTTTTATCTTAGTAATACAATACAAAGTTGTTTTTATACTTGTGAAGCTATGAAAATGAAGAAAGAATGGGCTTCTGAATATATGAAATAGAAATCCGCTTGTAAGACCTCTATTACAGCATATAAACAATCTCAAATGCAACTTCTGGTTGGATTTCAAGTCACTTTGGATAGCATTTAATTGATCCACAGCTATTACAAATATTAACCATTGTTAATCTAACCATAAAGAATCATTATTTATCTCCCTAGAGTTCCTGATAAAATTCACTGTTAAAATAACAAAGGGGAAAAAAATACCTACCCTAGATTGACAGCTTCTACAACATCCAAGGGAATCATACCAAAAACAAGGCTACTTCACAGCAAGATTTATTAATACATCCAAAAGAAAGAAAGAAAAATCATTTTGTCACACTATATACAGATAATACATACAGTGTTTTATACACATATTACATCAGTTTTTACACAAGAAAAATATACATAAAAATGTAAACTTTTGTATACAAAAACCCTTAAACAAATTAAACAAGGACCAGATAACAAAAGGAGACCAATCCATTATTTCATCAAATTTTTAAAACAGTAATACAGTACATTCATTGAGATATATATGGAAAATGTGAGCCATCTCTTCTTGTTTAAAGGGAAATTACAAACCCAAAGCCCATCGTTTCCCAAAATGTGGTCTCCCCCAGCAACACCATGCCCAATGCCATAGCTATGCCCTTCTGTGGGAACTGGGGGCTCTTACCCCAGACCTGCCGATCTCACTTTGTTTCTACAGTCCGTGCAGAAACGAGAGGCTCCTAGCTTTTGTGCATGTAACTAAGCTCCCGGCCACTATTAGCAAAGCTGCAGAGAAGATCCTCAGTTTGTAAGTTCCCTTTAAGCAACTTGGTTTTGTTTTTGTTTGTTTTTTTTTCTGTAAATATTTTTAACGTACGACCTGTTAAGCATTCTTTTGTGCCAAGGTGAATGAGAACACTGAAAAAGAAGGGTTGAGAACTGCTAGTCCTTGCTACCGTGCAGTTACTTGGTTAGAAGAGATTTTAAAACTGCGCAGCCTGTCAATTACTGGTTTCAAATAAGCTACCTCACCCTTGATTTCCCACTGCAACTGCCCAGAGGCGTTGACAGGCCGCTTCGGACACGGAGCCCCAGCTGAGCAACTCTGTGCCGTTGCTCAAAGCCCAGCCTATCCATCGGTCTTCACGGGTCCTCTGACGCCACTGCTTTTGGTGACGTCTTACAATTTAGGATCGTTCACTATGTTCCTCTCTCTGTTAAGGTCTTGAAATGTAACCTGTTGCCAACTCATCACAAAATAAATCTGAACATTTTCTTAACATTTTTTCGTTCAGTGTGTCAAATTTATATACTAATGAAAAACACCTGAAGCTGTGGGGAACAAGAATTAAATCTATGTCAAGTGCATGCAGACTTGGAATTTTAAAAAAAGTCTGGGACCTTTAACTAAATGTAAAACATGCTTTAAGACAGCTTCATGAGCGCTGCCTTCTCTCAAAGTTGAATTTTGAACAAGGCCGAATAACAATAAGGTGATATATTTCCCTGCAGCTAGAGGGTAGTTAATCTCCCCCCGGCATAATGATCTCAATGATCATTATTTATTAATGAAAGGAAGAGGCAAATTGGTGAATTAAGAAGATGGTAGATGACATACACTAATGGAAATGTTAGGATTGCTTTATAAGGGAAAAAAACAGCCTGGTTTGTGGTAATCTCCATTTCAGAGAGAGGAAAAAACGCACAAAGTTCCTCTAGTGAATCTCCAGCTCTTTCTCCCATGGAACAGATGACATTTCTAAAAATCACAGTCTCCCTTTCATTTAAAAAATAATAATAATAAAAGGAAAAGGAAGATAAATAAATAACATGTGGATGTCTTTAGATGAGACTTTTAAATGTTCTTTAAATAATTTTTGATAATGTATTTTTAAATCATTACATACAACTGCCACTGCAGTGGCAATATTCCAGTAGGGGCAGCATTTTGCTAAATGTAAAAGATTGCCATTTAAAACTCATACATATACATGTGTATATACAGCATATCAACACTATTTATATACATATATATCTAGAGAGCAACATTTCATTGCCTTTGAATATCTCTATATCCACTCCCACAATATATACTAGAGACATACTGTGTGAGTATATACCAAAGTATATGTACACATGCTCCAACATGTATATATACACTTCTGTCTGTGTGTGCATAAGAGCTTTAAAGGCACAATATATAGGGATGTAAGTTTTCTAGAGATCTGCAGCTAAGTTAAAAGACAATGTCACAAATGTGAAAAGTCTAAAGGAACTATAGCAGTATTCATTATGTAAGGATTCATTAAAGTAATTTAATCATGAGTAAAATGAGTTAAAAGAATTCAAGAGGCATACGTGTGACTTTGTACGCTCTCCATTAAAATGAAAATGGTAGATTTATGATTAAATCACAAAGTAAACCAAATTTTTGAAAAATTACTGATGACAAGAAATGAGGAAATAAATCTAACAGTAATATCAATGAAAAAAAATTGTAATTATGTTTTTTCAATTTAGGTAAAAGGTCCCAAAATTATGTAAGTAAAACTTTCAAATTAGTTTCATTTGTTGATTTTTTATTTGTTCATTTTTGAGACAAAGTTGAATGCCCAATTCTCAAGATTACTAAGGAAAATACTGCCAACATTTATATCTTCTGGGAAATTTCAGAGATAAAGATCCTTAAAAGAACAACTGAGAAGTTAAGGGAAAAAAGACAATGAAATGTGATTTTTAAATGATGAGAGACTGATTTAGAAGGTAGTGAAGATGAAGAATAGTGGAACTGGCAAGGAAGAATAGTTCTAACAGGAATTCACTTACAATAATCATAAAGAAGACTACTAACCCAAAGGACTTCCGTCTCAGTACGCCCTGATGATGTACTCTAGACTGTCACCTCCTCCTGCTTACAGAATAATCCAAACTTTCCATAGACATATAATCTTGCTTAACAGAAGCTGTTTATCTATTATACACACACATTTTTAGGGAAATATATGTATTTAGCTTTATCTATACACACACATATACATACGTGTATATATAGATTTATACAAATGTATAAATAAACAATACTTCTCAATCTTTCCATTGACAAGGCAAGTTCACATTCAGCAAAGTGCCACCACACCCCATATACACATCTCTGTACAGATATACACAAAAGGGTCTAATTTCACCCTTCAATCAGGGGAAATTTATTCTAGCAAATCCCATTAACCAGTAACTGAAGGGAGAAATGGCACCAATACAAACTCCATTCTTTCATTTGCATGCATATGTACAAGGAATTTGCAAATGTCTTTTTAATCCATAAAACAAGAATGAATGAAACTGGGAGATGCTGCAAAAGTACAACTATAAAAGGAACAACATATGAAGCTTTCCTAGGTCTTGACTATAACTAAGATGAAGGAGGCTTCAAAGATAACTACAAATTCAGGTGTATTATCAGAAGTTGTTTTGACATATTTCAAAGTACATGTTTTTTATATTGAAAGTAAATCTAGTTGGAGCATTCAATAACAACTCTAGTTTAGATTATTTCAGACCACCAGATAACTCCAGTAATGAATGCATAGCAAAATGACTAAACTCAAAATACAGAAATATATATATATATTTTAAATTCTACATGAATCATGTAAAACTCCAGAGTAGCTTATTTTCATATAGCCAAAATATGGGGGCAGGTAGACAGGCTAACTTTGTAATTAATAACACAACTGAGTAGTTTTTGAAAAATTTTTGGAAAAACTGAAATCATCCCAGCTTTGAAATATGTATGGTGAAATGATCCCACCAACTCTTTGAACAAAGCAGCCCCTCCAAAAATGGCATTCTTATAAAAGGCCTATAATTTTCTTAACTTCACCAAGACAAGATGGTCAACAATATTTTCTAACTCAGAATATGAAGAATCTACTATTGACACACACACACACAAAAGTTTCAACTGATTTCTGGTCCCATCACCCCAACAGAAAAACACAGCTCACATCTGGGTCTGTCTCTCTCTCTCTCTCTCACACATTTTTATGCCCAAAAGCGAGACGCTGGTCTTATAACCTACTGTTTCTCATGTCATTTAAAAAAACACAGCATAATATAAGTTAATCAAAAGGTTAAAATAAAATGTACATGATATCAGAACTAGCCTTTTAACACAAGATAACAATGAAAAATTTGGTGTATTTATACAACAAAGACGATGAGAAAATAACTCCAATACCCTCAGCTAAATAAATCATATTTCCACAATATATTGTTACCTTTCTCTAGTTTTACCTAAGCACACATTCATCTCACACACGTGCCTCCCAATGTATATTTCTGCATGTGTGTAAAAACACAGACATACACAAGCACACAAGTAATGAATTCTATTTTAAGTCACAGTGGGAATTCCTTAGTGAGGAGGGATAAAAAGTTCCTGAATAAGACACTGAGAACATCTATAGTTATTATTTTCTCTGTTTTACTTCCCAACTTACAGAATAAACTGTAAATTAATGAACAAATCCATAGGAAATAAAAGAGGTCTTCAAAACTTAGTTTACAAATTCCAGCTACAGTAGTTGGGAGTTTTACTTGATCTATGTACTTATTTCTATTTACCCTGTAACTAAGCTTCTAGCCATCTTAAATGTAAACCACAGATCATTTACTAAAGAAACATGACTCTCAACAGTTCTATGAGCAGTAATAAATGGTCTAAAGGTGTTCTACATTTTGAGGCCCCAGGATATCCTTTTATTTTATATATCTGCAAGGTAGCAAAGGATAGCTATACACCTTGACACGGCAGAGATCCAGTGTAAAAAGGTGCTTCACTAGTTTGTTTTGTCAAAAAAAAAAAAAAAAGAGTTCATATATCACTTTGTAGCTATTAAACACATAGGCAACATAATTCATTACACTCAATACAGCTTTAGTATAAAACTTATAATTTATGAGGTGATGTTAACAGCATAAATTAATATACCTTTTCTCTTAAAATCTACAATAAGTATTCTGAAAGTTCATTGGGAAAGGAAATTTTTAAATAAAAGTTTTAAAGCTGTGCATGATGGGAAAAGAGTCTGTATGCTGCTGAAGCTGAGATGAGAGCCAGGAGGAGAAAGGAAAGGGTCCTATGCAAGACACTGGGCAACAAAACCAAATGTGTTCTCTTTCTTGCGCTCTCTTCAATGATGAGTCACCTTTAGCTTCTTTGAAAACTGTTTTATTTTAAAAACTGCCCTAATTTCCACAAGGAATCCCTGAGACATACTCAACACTATACAGTGAAAAGAATGATCACTGTTGGGAGGAACTGATTTCAACCCTTCGGAGCAGATGAAGACAATGTCGCAAGTACCAAACTTTCCATCACTTCCACACTAATCCGCTGAAGCCAACTGTATCTTAACGATGCAGGGTGGAGTAATTTTAGGGCAAATCAGTCTATTCCCCAAGGAAAAGCAATGGTGTGGCATTTAGCTGCACTGGAACCTTCGGCACTGCATGATGAAAATTTTTCCAAGGGGAACTTTGGATGCATCTAGAGCTTACTTCAGTGGTCCCCAGTTTAAAAAACAGAAAGACAAAAAACAAAACAAAAACAAATGAAAGAAAAAGATCTATTACTCTTAGGTCAGGATCAGTACAGGTCACGTGTATGTGTGTGTGTGTGTGTGTGTGTGTGTGTGCATGTATGTGTGCAAACTTCAGTACATGGGGTGGGCTGAGGCAAGCGGGCAGAAGGGAAAAAGGAAGGGAAGCTGGCTGCCCTACAGAGCTTACTTAGAGTGACACAGGTTTTCTCTAAGAAGTTTGTTTTTCAGACTAAACTTCAGATCACCAAAAATCTGCCATTCAAAGTCACCGAACGTTTCTAGATTTGGGAACCTAGGGTAAAAAAAGGTTCCCAAATTTGCTCTCTCTCTGAAATGTCACATTTATTAGCTCTGTGTCCCAGTGCAGAGAAAGGAAAGATAACAGAAAATAAGAGCTGGAGTGAAGAGAAAATTTTTGCTATTTGGAAATAAGGCTTAGTTTGACCCACAATTTTTGCATTGATGACACTGGTTATTAGGAGAGACATTAATTATTCAGTTATGTTTTTACGTTTTCTTTCCTAACTCACCAGTCAGGTGAAAATACTTACTAGATATTCAAATACAACCTTCACTGGTATTTTGTTACAAATCTTCTAAAAGACAGCATTTTAAATGTTACTATAATCTATTAAACATGGATGTTGGTTTCCTCCAGAATATGAGACTGGAAAGCTTATAAAGTTCAAGACATTGGTAAATCATTAAATTGTTTTACCTTTCTATAGAATGCCAGTAAAGATTCAATTATTTTCAGTGTACTGAAAAAAAAAATTCTATGTTCTATTATACGTATATATTCTCACATCACACCCCTACTCCCAAGAAATGTATTTCTCATCAGGAAAAACTCCATAGAGCGATGAAGGTTGACGCTGGTCTTATAACCTACTGTTTCTCATGTCATTTAAAAAAACACAGCATAATATAAGTTAATCAAAAGGTTAAAATAAAATGTACATGATATCAGAACTAGCCTTTTAACACAAGATAACAATGAAAAATTTGGTGTATTTATACAACAAAGACGATGAGAAAATAACTCCAATACCCTCAGCTAAATAAATCATATTTCCACAATATATTGTTACCTTTCTCTAGTTTTACCTAAGCACACATTCATCTCACAAACGTGCCTCCCAATGTATATTTCTGCATGTGTGTAAAAACACAGACATACACAAGCACACAAGTAATGAATTCTATTTTAAGTCACAGTGGGAATTCCTTAGTGAGGAGGGATAAAAAGTTCCTGAATAAGACACTGAGAACATCTATAGTTATTATTTTCTCTGTTTTACTTCCCAACTTACAGAATAAACTGTAAATTAATGAACAAATCCATAGGAAATAAAAGAGGTCTTCAAAACTTAGTTTACAAATTCCAGCTACAGTAGTTGGGAGTTTTACTTGATCTATGTACTTATTTCTATTTACCCTGTAACTAAGCTTCTAGCCATCTTAAATGTAAACCACAGATCATTTACTAAAGAAACATGACTCTCAACAGTTCTATGAGCAGTAATAAATGGTCTAAAGGTGTTCTACATTTTGAGGCCCCAGGATATCCTTTTATTTTATATATCTGCAAGGTAGCAAAGGATAGCTATACACCTTGACACGGCAGAGATCCAGTGTAAAAAGGTGCTTCACTAGTTTGTTTTGTCAAAAAAAAAAAAAAAAGAGTTCATATATCACTTTGTAGCTATTAAACACATAGGCAACATAATTCATTACACTCAATACAGCTTTAGTATAAAACTTATAATTTATGAGGTGATGTTAACAGCATAAATTAATATACCTTTTCTCTTAAAATCTACAATAAGTATTCTGAAAGTTCATTGGGAAAGGAAATTTTTAAATAAAAGTTTTAAAGCTGTGCATGATGGGAAAAGAGTCTGTATGCTGCTGAAGCTGAGATGAGAGCCAGGAGGAGAAAGGAAAGGGTCCTATGCAAGACACTGGGCAACAAAACCAAATGTGTTCTCTTTCTTGCGCTCTCTTCAATGATGAGTCACCTTTAGCTTCTTTGAAAACTGTTTTATTTTAAAAACTGCCCTAATTTCCACAAGGAATCCCTGAGACATACTCAACACTATACAGTGAAAAGAATGATCACTGTTGGGAGGAACTGATTTCAACCCTTCCGAGCAGATGAAGACAATGTCGCAAGTACCAAACTTTCCATCACTTCCACACTAATCCGCTGAAGCCAACTGTATCTTAACGATGCAGGGTGGAGTAATTTCAGGGCAAATCAGTCTATTCCCCAAGGAAAAGCAATGGTGTGGCATTTAGCTGCACTGGAACCTTCGGCACTGCATGATGAAAATTTTTCCAAGGGGAACTTTGGATGCATCTAGAGCTTACTTCAGTGGTCCCCAGTTTAAAAAACAGAAAGACAAAAAACAAAACAAAAACAAATGAAAGAAAAAGATCTATTACTCTTAGGTCAGGATCAGTACAGGTCACGTGTATGTGTGTGTGTGTGTGTGTGTGCATGTATGTGTGCAAACTTCAGTACATGGGGTGGGCTGAGGCAAGCAGGCAGAAGGGAAAAAGGAAGGGAAGCTGGCTGCCCTACAGAGCTTACTTAGAGTGACACAGGTTTTCTCTAAGAAGTTTGTTTTTCAGACTAAACTTCAGATCACCAAAAATCTGCCATTCAAAGTCACCGAACGTTTCTAGATTTGGGAACCTAGGGTAAAAAAAGGTTCCCAAATTTGCTCTCTCTCTGAAATGTCACATTTATTAGCTCTGTGTCCCAGTGCAGAGAAAGGAAAGATAACAGAAAATAAGAGCTGGAGTGAAGAGAAAATTTTTGCTATTTGGAAATAAGGCTTAGTTTGACCCACAATTTTTGCATTGATGACACTGGTTATTAGGAGAGACATTAATTATTCAGTTATGTTTTTACGTTTTCTTTCCTAACTCACCAGTCAGGTGAAAATACTTACTAGATATTCAAATACAACCTTCACTGGTATTTTGTTACAAATCTTCTAAAAGACAGCATTTTAAATGTTACTATAATCTATTAAACATGGATGTTGGTTTCCTCCAGAATATGAGACTGGAAAGCTTATAAAGTTCAAGACATTGGTAAATCATTAAATTGTTTTACCTTTCTATAGAATGCCAGTAAAGATTCAATTATTTTCAGTGTACTGAAAAAAAAAAATTCTATGTTCTATTATACGTATATATTCTCACATCACACCCCTACTCCCAAGAAATGTATTTCTCATCAGGAAAAACTCCATAGAGCGATGAAGGTGTCATTGATGAAAGAGATACAGACAAAGGCTATTCAGTGTAACAGCTTCTTTGAAGGAATCCTTTAAATCGCCTCATTGAACTGTAGAGTTCTGCTGACCCTTTGGAAGACCATTGTATTAGATTATTCCATATATACCAGATTAAAAATGGAATTTAATAGAATGTTAAGAGAAGGCTAAAAAAGAAAGATTTGAAAGAAACTGGAAATTAGACACTCAAAAAAATTTAATGAATTTCAAACCTAATAAATAATCAACTTAGTGTTATTAATATGCTCATGTTTTTGCAATACCACATCTTTTGAACTAACTTGGAGACAAAGTGATTGCCTCACACAAACACTACCAACCACCTCCATCAGCCCCATGATTCAAGGGCACAGGAAAGCTTACCAGCAAGTAAGAAAGAACTGAGAGTGTGGGAGTTACCTACTCAAATTCTAGTGCCAATTGATAAAAACTGAATGGTACAGGCCAAAAGAAATGGAAATCCTTTCACATACGAAGAAATTGAACAGATAGGGCACCACCTGTATGTATCACGGACATTGTCTCCTTCCAAATCAAAGAACTGTCCTTGCCTCTGTGGACTGTGGTCATGGATTGCAAACAAGCTCTGATAAGAAAAGCTTTAGTGTTAGTCACAGAGAATGATCATTCTTAACTTGCAGCTGAGAGATTGGGCTTATTTAAGAAATAAAACTTATAAATTATTTGGCAAAGATAAAGTACTAACTTTCCTTAGCCTTAAGCCACTCAAAAGAGTAACTACAATTTTAAGGAAAGAAGGAACAAAACACTTTCCAACTAACTCTTCATACCTTTGTTTGCTTCTCATTTATTCTAATTTTTCATGGAGGGACACTAGACACACCACACTGCCTGCCAACATGAAACTGCTCAGGAAGTCATTTATAAAGCAGTTGTATCTCACATGGTAGGTTACTAGAGAAAATAATCCTTCGCCGTATAAGCTATGTGACGATAATTAGAAAACCTTTCCATTGCATAGTCTGCCATTTGGTGGGTTAAGTGTAACTGCTATTTACTATTGTGAATTGTTTACTAGCTACAGAACCTACCCAGATGTGCAAATTGCTAAGCCATTTTACAGAGGGAAAAAACAATGTCTTAAGTACTTCAATCAAAATAATATTAACAATTATGCAGACAGGAAAGGAGAGAAAAATGCTTTTCTTCAGATGCTATAGATCACAGCCAGTGAATACCATGTATTAGAAAGGAATTCAAATGCTCAGAGCAGAATGTATCCATTAACTGCAGCAACTTTGTATATTAAATCACATTAACACAATCTAACTGGCCTTTACAAATGGTCCCAAAGAACTGCAGAAACAGAGTGAACTCTTTGCCACTATTTTTCATGAGTTTAACACTAGTATAAAAAGCTAGTTTCCACCTAATTAGGACCTTACATAAAACTTGTTTCTGATTCCAGTATTGCCTCACTATATAGCATAAGCGTTATTTTAGAAGACACTAATTTTCCTATTTCTGGAGTAAAAGACACTTCATTCCTTTCCTTACATATTAACAGCAAACCTACTATTAATAGACTAGAATTGCTCCATTAGCTACAAGAAAACAAAAAGGATGTCTCTGGTTCAGGTATCCTTCTCTCTTCCAAAAAAGGACTCACAAGAAACAGCAAGAGCAAAGCAAACGGCAAGCTCAGATGTGTTTGTTCTGAAGTACATAAATGAGAGGAAAAATTGGTTCTTTTCTAATTCCTCAAACCTACACTGGTACTTTCTACAGGTGCCCTTTCCTCAGCTATTATCACGGGCATCTAAACAAAAATGAATTCACTCAAAAAGTTTTTGGTGTGAAGCTGTAACTGGCAACATTCCTGATCATTTCATGCCTCCTTACTAGAAAGCAGAAAAGGGCTTTTAAATGCACACAGAACAGAAAATTGTAAAGAATAAGATGTGCAACTTACTGCAAACTCAGTTTTGATAACTGAAGAAGTCTAAGCAGCTACGATGAGGGAGAAATAGCCAGAAACTTTACAACTGACTACCCATGACTTTCCCTTTGCTGTCAAGGAAGGGCTGATAAAGTCAATGTGCTGCTCTGCTACAACCTTTAATTAGTACACCATGGAAACTAAGTGGAATCGTTAGGAATGGACAGTTATCTAGCAGTGATTGCAATGGGATGTGGGAGGAGTTTAGCAAGCTAAATGACACTTTTTGAGCAGATATATCTACTCATAATCACTTCATTACAGTACATTAAAATAAAAAAGCTTACTAACATAGGTTCACAGGCGAGAAATACTCAAATTATTTGTTCTCACCATGCAGAATAGAAATTTATGGTGATACCAAATATAATTTTGCTTTGTGGCATAATTTATAATTCAGAAATTTCTCAATCTGCAAAAAAGGCAAAGCTATTAAAAATAAATCTTCCAATTACCATGATTAAAAAAAAACTAAATATATTACAAACATATTTTTGGCCCACAAAAAGAAACTTCAATAAATATAAAATAGGGCACACAATGATTTCATAGTCATGTGACATTTCCCCTCCATAATTTCAGGCACGTGGTTATCTGCATAATGCCTGCTGATCACCATCATTCCTTTAAAAAGCAGAGGAAAAAAGGCTTTCAAAAGAAGGGACTGGTTAGAATTAGCATGGCATAAAGAGAATACACATAGGAAGTAGGAAAATACATCCAATTCTTTACCTGTTGAAAAGGAATTAAGATCAAATATTCCCTGACAAATGAATTATTATATCACATCATTAATAGATATGTTCTCTCTACTCATCTTTTAAAATATATATATGTAAATTAGACTAGACTCAGGTATAAATAGCCAATGGTATCTCAGAGGACAGTGAAACTTCTCAGCAAAAGCAGAGTACAGATGCCTTTAAAATCTAGTTCCACCCTTGGGGAGGGGGGCCAGGGGAGAAGGCAGGTAAAAAGAAACATCACATATTCATTTCAAAGTCATCAACTTAATTAAACTACCCAATATGAATTTTTAACCTTAAAATTCTGGTACTTTAGAAAGATTTCCCAAAACTTAAACCTAAGTACTTAAATTGTTTTAAAAGTACCAAAGGATGGGTAAAATTTATGTCTAATTTCCATATTCTGCTTTGAAAGAAACTTTAAAATGTGTATCCTTCAGATATTACATATCACTTCACGATTCATACATCGATTCTACAAGTGTCTTCAACATTTTACAAATCTTACCAAAGAATCACTACTGTAAACATGAAAAATTCAAAAGCAAAAGATGGATCAAGGAGTTTACAGATCCCATCTTTCCAAATCTATCTGACCTATCCCGCTTTTCACATCAAAATATTTTAATTACATCTTGCAAATGTATTCCATGAGAGAGGGATTTAGAAACAAATGCATGTCTAAAAAGGCAATATAACCACCAGATATCAGAATCTCGGCAACCCTGTGGCCACTCCAGGAAAGCTTTTCACGACACCCCCACGGGACTGACAAGAATTTAGTTCTCTGCGTTCCAAGATAACTTAGCAGAAAAGGGTTGTGCTATTCACATGACCAGACCACCACCCTCCCTATTCAGGAAACTTAGTTTTAACTCAGTGGTAAAGAATGAACAACCTTACCAGGGTTGTGAGATGTGGGAAAGAAGGAAGGGCCTTATACTCACTAGGAAAAAAATTACAATGGGACAGCTGCTTCCTGCCCGGCACAAAAACACACAAGTGGGCAAACACATACACACAGGCATCAAGAGACTAATTTTTTTCTCTTTAATTAAACATGATTGCAATTAGGAATGGAATCCTGGCCTTGTGTGTTTAGCAGTTGGTGTTACATCAGAGCCTTGGTCTGCCTCTACACATCATTTGCTTCTCTTAACACAGGAACTCAATGGATAGGATTATTCTGTCCAGACCCACCTATGTAAAGACCTGGTAATAGAATGGAAACATTGATCAGAATACTAGGAAATAGTAAAGGGCACAGGTAATCTGAGGTATCTTCCACTTCTAGGACTTGCTGCTAAACATCAATTCTCTCCAGTCACTGTGCTGAGCCACTAGGAAACCACTGGGGTAGAGTGAACCTGCCAGGAGGGGATGAGCACCAGTGCAAAGGAGCACATGTGAACACTGAAGCAAGGCCCACTGCAGGGTGACTTGTTTAACTGGGAAAGGGAGCTCCCCTCTAGTCCCCATCTGTTGTTTTTAAAATCTTCAGGAAAAGGGCAAAGAGATGATAAAGAGGAAACAAAGATAGAAAATACCAGGTTCCCCACCTGCCTGCAAACACACAGACACACTCAGTTAGGGGAGGTGAAGGGAGAAGATACATTATTGGTACTTGTAGCTGTGGCACCTGTTACTGTGAAGCCTGTAGGAGGCGCTATAGAGCTGTGGCTGGGCTGCAGGTCCTTAGGAATGCCACTGTGAGAACTCAGCTGGTGGCCGAAGGCTGCGCTGAACTGAGGGAGCTGCTGCTTGGGAGAGGTGGAGGCCATGAGTTCCGCAGAGGGCCCCATGCCACTGAAGCTGGTCTGCGGTAACCCCGGAAGCACACTGGAGCTGCTGGGGGTCACGGTGGCGAAGGCAGGCTGTGTGGTCTCTGAGTTCGAAGTGGTGGGTGGTGTAGAGAGGGAAGTGGAAAGAAGATGTCCATCTGCGCCAAGAAGGTTGCTAAATGGAGAGGCATCTCCAAGGCTGACAGGGAGATTGCCCCAGTGAGTTCTGGGGTTTACGACTCCTCCAAGTGGCACCTCAAGTTGGGTTGGGAGCAAGTGCTGCGCCATGATGGGTATCTCTGCTGAAAAGGTAGCTGCCATATTATCACCAGAGTAAGATGTTGTCGTGTGGGGAGAGGTGATATGGTCGCTGTAGGGAGACGGCACGTGCTCACTATCATAATGGCTTCCATGGGGCGAGGAGTGTGAATGGTCACTGCTGTATTGCTGTCGTGAGGTGATTAGGTCATCTGCCTTGCTCAGCAGCTGGGCAGGATGTGGCCTCTGGGAGGCATGGCTGCCGTCATGAAGTCCATGGAACTGTCCTGGGAAGGCTCTCTCCCCAAGTGCACTCTGGCTCATCAGAGTGGCAGAAGTAAGGCCAACATTGGCTGGGGCAGAGAACTGCCCCTGGATCTGCCCTGCCAGGGGTGTAGGTGGGTTAGACAAGGTAGCAGAACGGAGCAGGTTCTCATCCAGCTCTAGACTAGAGAAATTATCATGTACTATACGCCCATTCAATAGCTCCCCCAGATCCGTGTTTACTTCTCGGCTCAAAGACTGAATTCCGGAAGCTCCAGTACCCGTGGAGAACACCCCTATTCCTCTGTCGGACAGCTCCTGGACTGGCACACCATCCGGCTGGGTAAGTACTCCAATGGTACTCAGGCACTCGAGAGAAGTTACAGCCTGCAAGGCCCGTTCAAGTTCCTCGGCCTCTTCGGTTGTGGGGAGGAGGTCTCCATTCTTTCCTGTGTAAACAAAAGCCATTGAAAATCAGCAGAGTCTTTAACCTGTCCTATACCATGAAAATCGTAATTTGAATTATTTTTAGCAATATTCTGTTAAGCTGAGTAGTCCCTTTGGAAAGAGAAGTTCCCCAGGGATTGGAAGAAATAAGCGGAGTATTAATCTGCAGGCCAGGTCTGAAACGTCATCTTCAGTCTATTTATGGTACTCTGAAAAACCACCATACAGAAGTGTTAACTTTTTAGGGCTTCTCAGGATTACCAATTTAAAACTCACAGTGACTGTTTGACCACACATATGTTTTCTACCTAAAGTCATATTAAAGTTATTAAAATGGAGAACATATCGTATCAGTTCTGATTTGAGACAAAAGGCTGTGTAGGAGTTGTCCACCTCAGTTCTTCTACTTTAGGATTCCTCCAGCCGGAGGGCAGCTGTGAAGACTAGAATACAGAAATTCATACATATCAGCGCACACTAAGCACTCAACTCTTTTCATAGGTTTTCTTTTAAAATGCTTTTGCATTACTCCCTAATACTTCTCTTTCGTTTTTCTCCCATTTCTAATTTTTGTAACATGGAAGCCCATGGGCCTATACTGATTTCACTTCCACTATACAAAAAATCTACTCTTAGTAATTTGATTAATCACCACAAAAATATTCAATCTTTAATGGTGAAAGAAACAGCCTAAGAACATGAAAGATTTCCCCCAAAACCACTAGAGAAGTGGTGGGATTAAGCAAATTTTGTTTGGACAAGTGCACTTCAACTGGAGTATAGGGTGGAGTATTAAAATCAGGACAAGTTCTAAAAGGCTTCTAAAGTCAGGTCTTTGTTCAAAAGTGAACTAAAGTAAAATTGCTCATTTTAAAACAATGAAGTTATAAACCTAGCTATCAAACTATGAACCTACTAAGCCTGTAATATGGTTAATGGCATTGTATATTCCCTACCTTCTGAAAAGGGTAAACTAGTGTTAGACATGTTACCTTTTCTACCTTTAGTGAAAGATACTATTTGTGAAGAAGATTACATCAAACATATCTCAAGAAAATTATTTTCCTTTTTAAAAACTCATTTTAAAAACCAGTCTTCTTGCACCCAAATATTGGCCATACCTTCAAAAAAATCAAAATCTTGTAAGTCATCAGGTAGCCGTGGCAGGACGTCTGCAAAGTCCTCCTGGTTCAATTCCAAGTCATGTGGAATGTCAGTGATCTCATTGGCAATGTCGTCCGGTAACTCATCAGCACTCAGTTCTGGCGTGGACGGGCTCCTGGGGCAGACGACAGCATTGGTCCTACTCCTCCCCTGCAACTTCCCACTACCACCACCAAGATATGCTCACCAAACACGACACGGGAAATCTAACTCAAAACATCTCCTTTCGTACCATAGAGAAGGAAATTTGAAGGCAAAAAGGTAGACCTTACCATATGCAGTTGTGTATTTCTACAACCTTAAACCATGATTAAGACAACCATTTTGAGATAATAGTTTTACTTCAAATCAGTAGAATGAATTACAATTTGGTGTAATCAAGAGTATTTTAATACTTTTTCAGTGGGATTTCAAATCTGGCCAAAGTAATTTTTTAAAATGAAATAAGCAGATTAAACCAAAATGGTTAGCTAAAACAGAAGCTTCTTGATCTGGTCAAAATGCCTAAACCTGCCAAAATTAGAATCACATCAAATTTCTAATGGAGTATTTCTGTTGGAACGCATGTGGAATTTCAAATAAAACAGAAAGATCTGAAAGTAGACAAAGTCTCAATTTCAGCATCTGCTTTCTTTGTTATAATCAAAAGCTTTACTTCAGCTCTAAAACCCAGTCAGGTGTTTGATAAAAATTGTACTGAAAACTAGAAAGTCTGGGTTGATACACCAAAAGGTTTCTGCAGCCTAATTCCAATGCTAGGAAAGTAAATGAAGCTGTCTGTTGTGACCACAGTCAGAATGCAAGGAGGAAATGGAAACTCTAGTGCTGTCACTGACCGAATCTGAGCAGCCTCCACTGGCAGTGAGACGCTGGTGGGCATGCTGAGGTTCCCCTGGGGGACTGCAGGGGGAATGGGTTTTTGGGGTCGGCGAGGTCCACGCCGTCTCTTCTTCTTGTGTTTTTTGGTAAGTGCGGGAGGCTTGGTTTTTTTCCTGGGTTTCCTCTGCTGCTGGTGCTGAACTTTACGGGAGCTATCTCCTCTCAAGAAATTATCCTGTGGAATGAATAGATGGGTATTTTTAAACAGACTATCTGGGAAAAAACCTAACAGCCACCTAGAAAACTATTTATGTCTTTTAATAGTCTATGTAATTCTTAAAACATAGCGTATGCCTAAAACTATGTACAAGGATAATTAATAAAAATTTCATCTTTTTATTTAACTCAAATCAATTCACTATATATGTGTGTGTGTGTACAGTTCATCCCACATGTAAAGACACTGTGATAGGTGCTACAGTATAAAAAAAATGAATAACAATTTGCACTCCCAAAGGACTTACTCCCCCCAAGGGAAAAACACAAATACAAGTATACATAAATACAGTACAGAGAGAACTGGGCAACAATGATATAATAACTTTCTATGGGTGCACAAAAGGAAAATCAAGTATTTTTAGTTTTACGGGACTAAAGGATAAGCAGAAATTTAAGTTGTTGGCATAGGGGAAGATCATCCTAGGCTAAGGGAAATGGCACAAACCAGACAAAAAGAAGAGCAAACAGCTGGTGCTTGGTTATAACGAAGGATGAGATACAAAGTAAGCTATAAAGAAGGCAGGGATCAAATCATGTATGACTCTGAATACCTTGTTGAGGATTTTAAACTTTATTTTTATAAGCAATGGGGAACGATTTTCCATGAGCAGAGTAACATGAGTTGGCAAATGTTTTAAAGGGCCAACTATTTTGGTAGCGATGTAAAGAAACAGAAAAGGCTCGTAAGTGGAGGCAGTGGTTCCAATCAGAGGGCGACCCCAACAGTCCACATGGACACCCAGAAACGGCAGAGTGAGGGAGAATTGAGAAGCAAGGGCCTGACAAGACACAATTCTCAAGATCTGGCAGCTCCCTGGCTGTGGTGAAGATGAAGGGAATATAAAACTTTTCAAACATCTCTAGGGTTTCTAGTTTGGGTGACTGTTAGACGGCGATAGCCCTAGCTGGGAGAGAGAGCACAGCACAACAGAGTTAGGAGAAAAGTGAAAGAATTCCGTTTGGCTCACATACACTTTGACATATGAGGGAAGAGAAAACTACTTGGTGCACAGGGATAAAGGAAGGGATGGAGATGTAGATTTGGAAGTTGTGACACAGTGAAAGTCCTTCCACTAATTTACATGGGCCAGGGAGACAAGGCAAAAGGATAGGACAATGGGGACACAGTCTTATAAAACTGCTGCCATTAAGTGAGTAGGCAAAGAAGCAAAAGCAGTAAGGAAGAAAGAAACTGACAATATAATAATTACCTTTCCTCAGCTAGTACCCTTAAATCTGAATGCCGTATTTCATCAAGTCCAAGACACACATTTAAATATCTGCACCACTGGGGACAGCACCTTGTAACTGCTGCCAGCCAGGTGATGGTCATTATAGTTGGCACTGTCCGCATATGCTCGAAGTTGGTTACAGCTCTTTATACCGTCACTGTTTGAATTAAGGTATGTGCGTTGTTCATTTTACACAAAGAGGAAAAACTCTTGTGTATGTAGAAAGGCACAGGGAGCAGCAGGGTACAAATTGTTACTAGTGAAGCAAATACTCATGATTGAGCTCATCACAATTTTCTTCTTTTTTGCAAAGAAATGACCAAATGAGAAAGAAGAATAACCACCAAGTAGATGTAGCTGTGTTACAGGTTAGTGCACCTAGAAAATACTGCCTTTCATATGTCAAGTAATACACCTTAAGACAAGAGTGATAAAGAAGATAAAAATATATGTCTAAGTGTAAAGAAGCCTTTTTGGTAAGTATAAAACAAAAACTGCAAGTGGTAAGAATGCACTACGCAAGATTTTTTCTTTCTCTGTGGTATTTATAACAATAGTGCTTTTACAACTGATGTTACCCTTGATTTCAATAATAACTCAAAATTAAAAATGTGAAAAGTATGCTGACAACAGTATTTGAAGATCATCACTAATTACCAATAGTTACCAATAGCTATCAAATTCCAAACAAGAAAGAATAAAATTAAAGCATAAATTCAGGAAACTTAAAAGAAGTTTAATTCCAGCCTAACACCTGAATCCAAAAACAAATACAGCCTCAAGTCACAAATGACAACAAAAGAGGCTGTTTCCCAGCCTCTGTAGTTCTTTTTGGCTCAACGCCTGAAGTCTACTTTTATGATTTAATTAACAATTAGTGAATGAGTGACTACCAGTACCCACAGGGTACCAGGCACCCATCCATTCCAGGCTTTCCCTCCAGTACTGGTGTGGATCTTAGGCAGAAAGAAGTCAGAGAACTTCACCCCAATATATACAAGTCCCACATGTAAGACTCCCAGAATTACCTGGTTCTAGGCATGTGTCTTGTTCTCCTAAGCTTATGCCTCATAGCCCAGCAACATTTTTGGTAATGTGCCTGGTACTCCACACAGAACTGCCCCCGGCCAGCGCCCAACCTTGCTCTTAAAAGTCCCCCACTTGGCTGCTCCCAGAGCTCGAGCTGCTACACCCTAGAGGCTTTACTATTGCCAACTGCCTCACTTATCTACACCATCTACAAACACCATTCACTCTCAGAAGTCTGTCTCATTCTACTTATGTGTCAGGACAATGCGTTTATTAACTTACATCTGTCACGGTCTCATACCTGTTGAATACCATGTCGTGTGTGCCAGTTAGGATTTCCTGCAGCTTGAGCTGCTTCTACCAATGGCCATCCTATCTGGCAGCCCTGTCTAGTCCTGAATCTCAACCCCTCCCAGCCATGCACCTAACCATTAATTTCTTCATAATTAGTAAAGTTATGCTGATGATAAACCAATGAATAATATTAGGCAGATATAAAGGTTATAGGAGGAAAAATAAGGTAAAGGATGAGGACAGAAGTGACAGGGTAAAGGGGAGGTGGAAAGACATTTGATCAGAAACCTGACTGAAATGAAGAAGCAGGGCATGTGGAGATCTGGAAAAGAACATTCCAGGAAAAGAGAAAACTAAGCAAAAAGCCCCTAAGGTGGAAGTGTTCAAGAATCAGCAAGAAAACCCATGTTGCTGGAACTCTGAAAGTGAAGAGAGGGTGTGAGATGAAGCTGGAGAGGTTGCAAAGGCCGGATCAGTCATTGTCTCAAAGGCCACAGCCACAGTAAGAATCTGGATTTGATTCTAGACGTGATGGAAAACTACTGGAAGGTTTTGATTAGGAAACTAAAATAAACAGACATATATCCTAAAAATCCTGCTCCAAAGGCTACATACTACATTCTCGAAATATAAAATTATATAGGGACAGAAATGTATCAATGAAGATAGAGGAAAAGGTTGGCTGCAAAGGGGTAGCACAAGAGAATTTGGGGTGGGGGGGACGTGATGGAACTGTTCATTGATTATGGTAGTAATTATATAACTGTATGCATGCCCAAAACTGATAGGCCTCTCTGTAACTGTGTTGAGAGAGAAAACCATTTTCAAAATACTTTATTATTATAAATATCTTTAAAAACCTATTATTTACATTTTTATTTTATATTGTAATATAAAATATACACTATTTTGATGAATTTGATTATAGTAATTCAATTTTAAGCTTGCCTAACAAAATTGACAACAAAAGAGGCTGTTTCCCAGCCTCTGTAGTTCTTTTTGGCTCAACGCCTGAAGTCTACTTTTATGATTTAATTAACAATTAGTGAATGAGTGACTACCAGTACCCACAGGGTACCAGGCACCCATCCATTCCAGGCTTTCCCTCCAGTACTGGTGTGGATCTTAGGCAGAAAGAAGTCAGAGAACTTCACCCCAATATATACAAGTCCCACATGTAAGACTCCCAGAATTACCTGGTTCTAGGCATGTGTCTTGTTCTCCTAAGCTTATGCCTCATAGCCCAGCAACATTTTTGGTAATGTGCCTGGTACTCCACACAGAACTGCCCCCGGCCAGCGCCCAACCTTGCTCTTAAAAGTCCCCCACTTGGCTGCTCCCAGAGCTCGAGCTGCTACACCCTAGAGGCTTTACTATTGCCAACTGCCTCACTTATCTACACCATCTACAAACACCATTCACTCTCAGAAGTCTGTCTCATTCTACTTATGTGTCAGGACAATGCGTTTATTAACTTACATCTGTCACGGTCTCATACCTGTTGAATACCATGTCGTGTGTGCCAGTTAGGATTTCCTGCAGCTTGAGCTGCTTCTACCAATGGCCATCCTATCTGGCAGCCCTGTCTAGTCCTGAATCTCAACCCCTCCCAGCCATGCACCTAACCATTAATTTCTTCATAATTAGTAAAGTTATGCTGATGATAAACCAATGAATAATATTAGGCAGATATAAAGGTTATAGGAGGAAAAATAAGGTAAAGGATGAGGACAGAAGTGACAGGGTAAAGGGGAGGTGGAAAGACTTGGCTGACGAAGTGACATTTGATCAGAAACCTGACTGAAATGAAGAAGCAGGGCATGTGGAGATCTGGAAAAGAACATTCCAGGAAAAGAGAAAACTAAGCAAAAAGCCCCTAAGGTGGAAGTGTTCAAGAATCAGCAAGAAAACCCATGTTGCTGGAACTCTGAAAGTGAAGAGAGGGTGTGAGATGAAGCTGGAGAGGTTGCAAAGGCCGGATCAGTCATTGTCTCAAAGGCCACAGCCACAGTAAGAATCTGGATTTGATTCTAGACGTGATGGAAAACTACTGGAAGGTTTTGATTAGGAAACTAAAATAAACAGACATATATCCTAAAAATCCTGCTCCAAAGGCTACATACTACATTCTCGAAATATAAAATTATATAGGGACAGAAATGTATCAATGAAGATAGAGGAAAAGGTTGGCTGCAAAGGGGTAGCACAAGAGAATTTGGGGTGGGGGGGACGTGATGGAACTGTTCATTGATTATGGTAGTAATTATATAACTGTATGCATGCCCAAAACTGATAGGCCTCTCTGTAACTGTGTTGAGAGAGAAAACCATTTTAAAAAAACTTTATTATTATAAATATCTTTAAAAACCTATTATTTACATTTTTATTTTATATTGTAATATAAAATGTACACTATTTTGATGAATTTGATTATAGTAATTCAATTTTAAGCTTGCCTAACAAAATTTGCCTAAGTAGGAATATTTAGCCAGCTGAAAAGAATAAACTGCTTTCAATTACTTTAAAAGCATTCACATAATAATTGTTATACTAATCAAAAACTCTTATGAAGTCAATAAGGCAGATCCTAAATAGCTTCTCTATTTAACAATATTTTCCTAGTCTTATTAGAAGTATGCTGGAATGGTCCAACTTGAAAATCAAAATATGTAACTGGGATCATTTACTTCAGTGGCTTGACAGCTGCAGTGCCTGTGAACTCGTCAGTGAAGTGATTCCAAGAACATACAGAAACCATTCCTTAATCATGATTAAACTTGAATAAGCTGACAAATGTCTGTATTTTAAATGGTTTTAAATTAAAACAGGATAATAAATATTCAACGTTCGTATATGTAGTTTAGTAAACACATTTAAAAATATATGGCTCGTAGAAGAAATGTGAAAGACAGAAGAGGTTCTTGATGGAGAAGGAACAAGTGAACTTCATGAAAACTCATGTTTGGAAAAGATGAATCATTAGTCTTTGTTCTACTTTTAGCTAGAAGTAACACCAGGATCACAACTTTAAAATATTAAGTCCTGATTCAATGACCACTGTTACCTTGATACACCCCAGGAAACTGCAAAATGCTTAGAGGGCAAGAATTGTCTTGCTCAACTTTTTAATACATATACCTTACACAATATCTCACAAATAGCAGAAGAATTCATTAAGAGTCTGATGGATGAAAATAATAAAAATGCATTTATTTTAAATGACTACATAATTCAGAGAGTTCTCAGAACTGTGTCTCCTCCAAATTATTCTGAATTAATAGGACTATAATAACTAACATTAACAAAAGCAATAATTAAGTTCAATATAATTCAGAAAGGCTGGCTTTTGGCTGAAATTTCATCAAATATCTTAAGACATTCACAGAATTATACATAAAAAAGCAAAAAACCTAGCAAATGGGGCAAAGACAAACCTTGGGAAATCTGCTATGTGTACAAAAATATGTCTTACAGAGAAGTGAAGTACAGAATTTGGATAGATAATAAACAAAATAAACATACATAATTAACCACTAAAAATCTTCTAGAATAGTGGTTTTGTTTTTGTTTTTTTTTTTAAATAAGGGTACAAATTAAATCAGTGGGTCATGACCAGTATGGTTTTGTTTTTAGTAAATTAGAGGAGACTAGAAAATATCAGGTTCTAAAAGCATTGTTTCATAAAACCTATTTCAGTGATTTATATATACACATAGTTTGTAACTGTCACAGAATACTTCCTCCTGGATAGCTAACAAAAGTTCAAAAGCTTATTTTTCAGAAAAGAAAACCTGAACTTACCATTTTTTTGGCATGTTCTTCACACAGAGGTGTCTGGTGTGTAATGTCAAAAACGGGCACAGAGCACTGCTGTCCATCTGCAAACTTGGCTGTGCAGCTAGAGAAGAGCTGCTGAGAGCGGTTCAAGAGGATATCTGTTTTTATTTAAGTTAAGAATAAAATACACTGAAACTCTATTTAACTTACCAATTTTTATATAAAATTTGCCTCTTTCCTTACTTGCATAAACTTCTCTTACTAAGTATAAATTTTATTATCTATAAAGCTAAAGAACCAATCAAACTACTGATACGGGAAAATGGTAACAGTTGAATTTATCACCATTACTTATTAGAAGATAACTTTTGAAGGAATCTTTGTTGCTACTGGGCTCCTAACATGAATCTGCTTATGGCCATTTTGACTGCTGTTATTTGAAGAAGCAGGGTTATTTCCTTCTTAATAAACCAACTCCTGCAAATCCCACTCTAGTGGTTAAAAATACCCAACTTTCTCTTAAAGAAAACTTATGCACATCACAGTAATGAAGGGGAATAAAAATTTTAAGTTATAATTATAAGAAATTCACCTACCCATATTTGGATTTTCACTTTACATTTCTAGCAACCAAGCTCAAACTTAAAACTTAGGGAAAGTTACTTTTAAATCAAAACTGTAACAGTTATTAAATACGGAATGTCAGCTCTTCTGCTGTGGTCTGATCAAGAGAGAGAACGACTGACTGCTTGAAGACAGATTTTTGGGAAGATGGTGGTGTGAGTAGGGCAGCGGAAATCTCCTCCCAAAACCATATATATTTTTGAAAATACAACAAAAAAAACTACGTGTAACAGAAAGAACACAGGATACAATACAACAGGCGAGGCTACATCTACATCTGTGAGAATGCAGCATCTCACGAAGGGGGTAAGATAAAAGCCACAACCCGGTGGGACACGAGCACTCTCCTCAACCCAGCCCATTGGTGGGAGGAAAGGACGGAGAAACAGAAAAGTAAAATCTGTGAGCGGGTCCCCGCAGCTGGCTCCCTGGAGACAAAAGAAAAACGAGTGCTTTTTGAAAGTCTTAAAGGGACAGGGGCTTCACAGCTGGATGGAATCGGACTGGCACACTCAGCCCAGCAGCTGGGAATCCCGGGGAACGTGAGGCACCCTAAGCCCCTGGGTGGCAACACAGCTCTGAAGCCCCTCATGGAGATAAACAGCCTGCCATTCATTCCCCCTCCCCCGCGGCCCCGGCAGAGCAGCCAGGGTGCAGCCATGCCCACAGTAGCTGCCCAGAGCCTCCTCTCAGCGTGCAACTGCCTGGGCTAAATCCAAAAGCTGCCACCATCGAGCAGCAGCCCAGTGCAGGCAGTGGAGGCTGGGGCAAGGCGCAAAGGGGCGTCTTTCTCACAGGAGGGCACACCGGGCGCACCTGCCTCTCCCTGCAGGGCTCTGGGCTGCCCCACCCGCCACGGCTCAGGAAATTAACGCGGAGCCTGCGTCTGGTGTGTAGGTAACTCACACAAGCAGCAGAGAAGGGCAAGGCAACCAGCAAGGAGGAAGGCACTTTGTTCTCCCAGCTAACACACGCACTACCTGACTATGACTACCTCTATTGCCATGAAAAGGCAGAAGATCAAGCAATATACGGAGACAAATGACAACAACAACACAAAGTCCCAACTACTGTGGGATGCAAAGGCAGTTCTAAGAGGAAAGTATAGCAATCCAGGCCTATTTAAAGAAGGAAGAACAATCCCAAATGAATAGTCCAAAGTCACAATTATTGAGATTGGAAAAAGAAGAACAAATGAGGCCCAAAGTCAGCAGAAGGAGGGACATAATAAAAATCAGAGAAGAAATAAATAAAATTGAGAAGAATAAAACAATAGAAAAAAATTAATGAAATCAAGAGCTGGTACTTTGAGAAAACAAAATAGATAAGCCCCTAGCCAGATGTATTATGAGAAAATGAGAATCTACACACATCAACAGAATCAGAAATGAGAAAGAAAAAAACATGACCCCACTGAAATACAAAAAATTATTAGAGAATACTATGAGAATCTATATACTAACAAATTAGAAAACCTAGAAGAAACGGACAACTTCCTAGAAAAATACAACCATCCAAGACTAACCAAGGAAGAAACAGAAAATCTAAACAGACCAATTACCAGCAACGAAATTGAATCGGTAATCAAAAAACTACCCAAGAGCAAAACCCGGGGCCAGATGGAATTACCACTGAATTTTATCAGACATATGGAGAAGACATAATACCCATTCTCCTTAACGTTTTCCAAAAAATAGAAGAGGAGAGAATACTTCCAAACTCATTCTATGAAGCCAGCATCACTCTAATACCAAAACCAGGCAAAGACCCCACCAAAAAAGAAAACTACAGACCAATATCCCTGATGAACATAGATGCAAAAATACTCAATAAAATATTAGCAAACCGAATTCAAAAGTACATCAAGAAGATCATACACCATGACCAAGTGGGATTCATCCCAGGGATGCAAGGATGGTACAATATTCGAAAATCCATCAACATCATCCACCACATCAGCAAAAAGAAGGACAAAAACCACATGATCATCTCCATAGATGCTGAAAAAGCATTTGACAAAATTCAACATCCATTCATGATAAAAACTCTCAACAAAATGGGTAGAGAGGGCAAGTACCTCAACATAATAAAGGCCATATATGACAAACCCACAGCCGACATCATATTTAACAGCAAGAAGCTGAAAGCCTTTCCTCTAAGATTGGGAACAAGACAGGGATGCCCACTCTCCCCACTGTTATTCAACATAGTACTGGAGGTCCTAGCCATGGCAATTAGACAAAACAAAGAAATAAAAGGTATCCAGATTGGTAAAGAAGAAGTTAAATTGTCACTCTTTGCAGATGACATGATATTGTACATAAAAAACCCTAAAGACTCCACTCCAAAACCACTAGAATAAATATCTGAATTCAGCAAAGTTGTAGGATACAAAATAAATACACAGAAATCTGTGGCTTTCCTATACACTAACAATGAACAAGCAGAAAGAGAAATCAGGAAAAAAATTCCACTCACAATTGCATCAAAAAGAATAAAATACCTAGGAATAAACCTAACCAAGAAAGTGAAAGACCTATACCCTGAAAACTACAAGACACTCTTAAGAGAAATTAAAGGGGACACTAACCAATGGAAACTCATCCCATGCTCTTCCCTAGGAAGAATTAATATTGTCAAAATGGCCATCCTGCCTAAAGCAATCTACAGATTCAATGCAATCCCTATCAAAATACCAACAGCATTCTTCAACAAACCAGAAGAAATAGTTTTAAAATTCATATGGAACCACAAAAGACCCCAAATAGCCAAAGCAATCCTGAGAGAAAGAATATAGCAGGGGGGATCTCGCTTCCCAACTTCAAGCTCTACTACAAAGCCACAGCAATCAAGACAATTTGGTACTGGCACAAGAACAGACAGACCCACAGACCAGTGGAACAGAATAGAGTCCAGATATTAACCCAAACATATATGGTCAATTAATATACGATAAAGGAGCCATGGACATACAATGGGGAAATGACAGCCTCTTCAACAGCTGGTGCTGGTAAAACTGGACAGCTACATGTAAGAGAATGAAACTGAATCACTGTCTAACCCCATACACAAAAGTAAATTCGCAATGGACCAAAGACTTGAAACCATAAAACTCTTAGAAAAAGCATAGGCAAAAATCTCTTGGACATAAACATTAGTGACTTCTTCATGAACGTATTTTCCCCGGGCAAGGAAAACAAAAGCAAAAATGAACAAGTGGGACTACATCAAACTGAAAAGCTTCTGTACAGCAAAGGACACCATTAATAGAACAAAAAGGCATCCTACAGTATGGGAGAATATATTCATAAATGACAGATCTGATAAAGGGTCGACATCCAAAATATATAAAGAGCTCACGCACCTCAACAAACAAAAAGGAAATAATCCAATTAAAAAATGGGCAGAGGAGCTGAACAGACAGTTCTCCAAAGAAGAAATTCGGATGGCCAACAGACACAGGAAAAGATGCTCCATATCACTAGTCATCAGAGAAATGCAAATTAAAACCACAATGACATATCACCTCACACCAGTAAGGATCGCCACCATCCAAAAGACAAACAACAACAAATGTTGGCGAAGTTGTGGAGAAAGGGGAACCC